GTGCAGCTGATGCTCTCTGGAGGAGAGCAAAAGGGTTGGCTGAGCCATACCAACTGTAAGAATTCTCAGGAGTGCTTCTCTGCCTTGGATACCTCTTCATTTTCCAGGTCCCGCACATGCATTTTTCGCCATGACCTTTTCCCTCCCCCCACACAGGGGTTGAACCCAGCAGCTTTTCGGAGGTGTCTCAGGAAGAGAAGCGTGTTGGGAGTGATGGAGTCTGAAAAGTGGGTAGAGAAACTGTTACCAACAGAACTGCAGGGAATAAGGAAATATGCACAATCTTGAAGAGATGCAGCAACGGCCAGAGAAGAAACTTCACAGCAGAAAAGGTCAAGACAAAGCAGTTCTGACAAAAGACAGGATCAAGAAAATGCCCAAAGCTCTGTGTGATAGTGAATGTTGGCAGGTAGAAGGCTAAGGACATTTAGAGGAACCATCAATACGGACTCTGAGCATGCAGTCAAAGACTCTGAGTCAAGCATCCCCAAACACCGTGTTTTTGAGAGCAGGGCTTTGCAGGCTGCCGCTGAGACATCCAAAAGCAAATTTCGGTCCAGTTCTCAACAGTCCACGTGCCTGTACAATTGACAAGTTGTACCACTTCTTGACAGATCATCCCAACATTGTCCTTGACAAGCTGCAACAAGAAGCTATACAACATGTCTCTGTGCATTCAAAAATGCTCCTTTCCTCCAGCTCCTGTCTCCATGGCATGCAAGGAATATAACGTTTATGGACTGCTTCTTGCTGTTTTGGCACTTCTCTCAACAGGCATTTCATTTCCATGAATCAGTCTTTCCTTTATAAAAGTATGTGGGAGGGCATTTCCCAAGTCATCAGCATCCAGTTAAAAAACACACTGGCTGTCTTGTGAGGGAGGGTCTTTAACGTTAACGTTCTGCAAGTGGAGTCCACACCGACTGTAGCAACTGCAGCGGCCTGATTAGCAAGGCTTCCCCGTTTCTGAACCAGTCGGCCCTTCAATGCGCAGAACCAGAGGACGAGGGTGTCTTCAGGCAACTGAGACCGAAGAACATAAAAAGGTGCCTGTTTGCTCAGAGCTGTGGATGCCTTTGTACGACGGGCGTTCAATGTATTCTTGGTATCAGCATGAAGAAAAAGGTATAATAAATTGAAATAATTTTTATTTTTCAATGTAATCCCCCATAACTTCAATCCACTCATTACATCGAGAAATTAACTTTTCAATTCCCTTTAAAAAATACCCTTCCTCCTTGTCTAAAAAATGTGCGTTAATTGCCGCCTTGAGCTCTTCATTGTTGGAAAATCGCTTTCCACGAAGAGCTTTTTTAAAATTTGGGAATAGGTAGTAGTCACTGGGCGCCAGGTCCGGGCTATAGGGTGGGTGGTTTATTTCTTCGAAACCACAGTCTCGCACAGCAGCCTTCGAAACACGCGCCGTGTGAACGGGTGCATTGTCATGAAAAAGCAACACACCTGCGGTCAGTTTTCCCCCGCCTTTTTTCTTTAATTGCTTCTCTTAAATTACACAGAGTGGTTGCATAAGATGCTGCGTTTATGGTTTCACCTTTTTTCGTGTACTCGATCAATAAAATTCCCTTTGAGTCCCAAAACACTGTGGCCATTATTTTTCCGGCCGATGGAGTGCCTTTGAATTTCTTTGGAGGGTCAGCACCTTTTTTATGCCACTGCATGGACTCCTGCTTACTTTCAGGGTCATAGTGATGAACCCAAGTTTCATCTCCAGTAACAATCCAGTGGAAAATACTAGATGGATCTTCACCACAGAGCTCTAAAAACTCCCTACAGCACTCGACTCGCACTTGCTTCTGAGGCACCATGAGCATTCGCGGCACCCATCTTGCACAGACCTTTGAAAGGTTAAGATGGTCATGAAAAACAGTAAATATGGTACCAACGGATAGGTTTGTCATCTCTGCTAACATTTTGATTTTTATCTGGGCATCTTCCAATACAAGTTTCTCAATTTTTTTCACATTTTCTTTCGTAGTGGCAGTAACGGGCCTGCCCAAGCGAGGGTCGTCTTCAATGCTTTCTCTGCCCCTTTTAAATCCACTTGACCACTTTTGAACAGTAGATAATGAAGGTGCAGAGTCCTGGTAAACGGCCACCATCTCTGCATGCATGATTTTTTTACTTTTCCTTGTTTTGTAAGGCACTTAATCACAGCACGGTGCTCGATTTTCTTCAACATTGTCGCATCAGTCATTATGGTCGTCTTTCACTGAGGATTACTAGGGAACTAATGATCACATTTATTTGAAATTTTGCATGTATACCCTCAGATAGCGTCATTAGCTACTGAAATAATTAAATTACCTACATCAATTGCAAATCAACCCGATACCGAGAACACATTGAACGCCCCTCAGATCGTCATCTCTCACTTTTCATCTAGGACAAAGCAATTTATGGCACAGCAGAAATTCAAATTCAAGGGGGGGAAAGTAAGTGCTTTTAAACTACAGGGCTTTAAATTCCATAAACTGTACAAATGAATTGAAAAGCAACTCCACATGTTTTTCTTGCAACTTGTTTGTGGGTGATTTTTTAAAAAATCAAACTTTTTTATTTTCCAAAACTTCACAGTAATCTTTATGAAGGTGCCTTCACAATACTGCTTATGAAAAAACCTGATGGTTTCAATAAATTGAACACAGTAACAAAAAGATGGAAATGAGTGACCACTTTCCAAGATGGTAGCCAAATTGCCCACCAAAATTTTTGACAATTGTGAATTTTGAACTGAGCACACTTTTTCATACAGAACCCGTTACAAACAGCTGTTGCTATTACGTAATTAAATGCCCGCCTTGCTTCAAACTACAAAAACCAATCTTGTAATTTAAAACCACAATACAGAAATCCACAATTGATACAACTAAAAGAAAACACACAACCCAAATCACCCTAAACCAAAATAATCATCAAAATGCAAATAAAAATAAATACCACAAAAACATAACCTACAAAAACATGAAAAGCCTCGATCCACAAGTACACACCCGTCTCCCTTGGTCTCTCTCACATGCACACACGGAAGCGCCAATCCATGGCTTAGCAGTATTCACTGCCAGTATTCAAGCTTGCACTGAACCATAACATTTCCCTTTAGCTCACATGTGCTCCATCATAAGCAGTTTGCCAGGGAAGCTTCCCACAACCCTGAACGCATGCACAAGTATGCGCACATGGGGATACCCCTGGAGAAGGCGGCTAGTGCTCCACGACTTTGGGCTGAGTTGGGAACAACTGTCCCGTAGCCAGAGAGGCCTGGCTTTCTCACCTCCTGCCCTAAGGCAGAATCCCTTTTCTTGCCCCCTGGCTGCCCAGTGAAGGGGTGGGAGGCAGAACTGCACCTGTGCGCATCCCCCCCCCGCACCTCTCCCCTCCAACACGACACAACCTGGTCTCAGTTTGAAAAGAGATACTCTCCCCTTTGCTCTGCTACAGAACCAGGGCATATAAGAAGATGGCCCGAAAGCTGCAACACATTTGTTTCTGCCTTTTGCAAGGGTATTTCTGGATCCCGGTTTTCTTTCACGGTTCATTCCTAGGAAATAGTTATTTCTTATCAGTGGTGTTGAGTCATGTAGAACTAATTTAATCTGTATTTAATCCAGGCACCAGATTATAGTGGTGGAAAACAGTAACTGGAAAACAAGTGTTCTTCTTGCTCCAGTCTTCAAAGGAAGAATGCGGCGTGTTTCTCCAAAGTTTCCCAAGCACTGACTATCCTCCATCATACCAACCCTTCACCACAAAAATGCAACCTTCTTTTACCAAAAATATCAAAACACGAAGTCTAGTCAAGCCACTAATTATTCCCATCCAGCGACATCTGCAAGGCCTAAAGTTACACTTGAAGAGAGTTTGATCTGGTTAAAACCACAAAACCAAGCACCGGATTAATTTCAAAACATCACAGGTCAAATGTATTCTATTCCCACAAAGATAGTGCAAACATGATGATTCACAAATTCTTACCCACACACCCAACAGGGCAGTTTCAATCAGGTTTACTACATATTAAAGAAGCAAAACTGTGGTTTGCTTTTACCTTGAGGTCTTTGTTTCTAGTCAAGAACAGGAAGCAAATTTCTCTCTCAAATAATAGGAGGAAGGAACAGTATACTTCTTGCTTATTTACAAATTTTTAAAATCAACAAATCACCAAGTCTGGATTGCTACTGACTGAATACAGAGAAACATGGGATCGCTGAGCTCCTAACAAAAATGTGTGACACAACAGTCCCCAAGGTCAGAAGACTGGAAAATACGAGGAAAATACGAGGTGGCAGTTCTTAAAACAGAATCTAGGAGGATTCGGGAATTGACAAGCCTGTCAGCTTAAGGTCAGCTCTAGGTAAACAGGCAGGAAGCATTATTAAGAATAAAATTGCCAAGCCTATAGAACAGCCTTCGCCAACCTGGTGGTCTTCAGAAGCATTTGGACCACAACGGCCAGAATGCCCTTCCAGCAGGGCCATTAACTGGGAATTCTGGGTGTTGCAGTCCAAATGTATCTGGAAGGGGAAGGCTGCTACAGAAGAACAAGTCATTCTGTAAAAGAGTCAGTGTGGATTCTGCAAAAGTTATGTCCTTTATTCATTTTTTCACATTCTCAAAGAGCATCAAACAAGTGGATGCAATGTAGACATTGTATACACAGGAATTGTGAGAAGGTTGGACAAAATTCCTGACCGAAGCCACCCAAGTAAATTTGGCAGTTTCACAGCCATCCAGGTAGGAGGCCATCACTATATGCTGTGGCTGCAAATTCCACAGTCCAACGGTGCACCAGGTGAAGAAATGCCTCCTTTTATTTTTCAAGAATCTCCCATCATTCCATTTCATGAAATAACCCCAAGGCCCAAGCCTGCCCTGATCCTCTCTCCCTACACCATGCACAATTTCATACACAACTACTGGGCCATACAGAAATATAATTTACTATTATCATTATCCTGGTATTACATTACATTTCTGCCCACCTTTCTTTCTCTCGCAAGATGCCCAAAGCAACTTCCACGGTCTTCCTTCTCTTCATTTTATCCTCACAATGACCCTGTGAGGTAGGTTAGGCTGAGAGGACGAGACCGGCCCAAAGTCCGTGAATGAGCTCCATGGCTGAGTGGGGACTCAACCCCGGCTCTCCCAGTCCAACGCTCTGAATCACAGTGCCGCCTGCTTTCCACGGGAGAGGAGATCCAAACACTCCACACACTTAGCTGTGCCACTTCAAGTCTGGAATGGTTCGAGCCTCCGGTTCTTTTTCCAGAGACTAAATAGAGAGAGAGTAGGACTCTCTGGGAGGAGTGGTTTCTACGGTCAAGATCTGTAAGAAGCATGCCTATGAAGCAGGGGAGTGGTCCAAAAAGAAAAAAGGATGTATTAAGGATGACCTAGCCGATACTTTTACTAATCAGCTACACAAAGAAGACCAGTGAAAGAATTTTACGTTAAATGGAAAGCCTACTACATAGTCTTTATTTAACAACTGAGAGTGTAACTACTAAGTATTATGTAGACAGTGAGCACATTAATACTGTTTTATAAATTTAAAATTTTATTATGACATTGTTTTATCTGGGGAAAAAGAAAAAAACAATTATTAATTGCTGGTGGGTTTGTAGATATGTTGTAAGGTAAATTAATATTTACTTTGATAGCCATGTTAACGTGTTTTGGAATAACCAAATATAATTAAGTCAAAATTGTAGTTATAAAATTGATAAAGTAATAATTATTGACTTTTTTACATAATTTCTCGCACTTAATGCTATAGGTAATTTTTGTGTAAGTTCCCTTGATATCATTTTCTTTCTTTCTCATGTTACTTTTCCCTTGTATTTTCCCTTTTACATATAAAATTAAAACTTGAATAAAAGAAGGGGAGTGATTCATACTGGTTGAGCTTCCAGAGTTGCTAGCCACACCTCTCTGCAAAGAGCTTTGGTTTCTTGGGCTACACAGCTGTGCACCAGCCAAAACTCTGGGATGAGCCCAAGCCCCACCCTTGGTCCATGCCCAAGAGGGAGGCAGGTGCGTGGCTACCATTCTACAGGTAAATGGCTTCCTGCCAAGATGGTACTCACCGGGCTCAAGGCATTTCCACACACACAGGATGCCTCAAAGATAGAAGCATCATTTGAGGAAGAAAAGCACACAATGAAGAAATTTCTGCTTCCATAAAGCCAGGAAACAGACCTGTCTGGTAGATAAATAATTTTGCTCCAGTCTCCTAGTATCCAAGGGAGAAGACTGTCCGGTAGCCCGGAGTAGCAACAGCCCAGTAGCCACAAAGACTTTTAATTAAAATTACATGTGCTGAAATAAAGCAACCAAATTAAGATCAGCATCACGTAAAATATTAGACTACTTTCTGTCACAACATTGCATCTTTCAAACAAAACCTGCTTGTTTCAGCATGTGTGAACTGCCCTCTGAAATGAAAGAAGCCAAACGCCGGACATGATTTTTAATCTCAGACTGCAAAAAGACCCCACCTGCAAGCTGCAAGAAGTCTGAACGGATCACTACTCACACTTCACTCTCAGGCTTCGTAGGTTTCTCTATTCTTTCAAAAACCTGTAAAACCTGTTTGACTGTAGGTGACAGGAAGACAAAGGGTTTGTCCAGCATGTTATGGAAAGCACAAAGTTTTACACACTTATTTTCAGAATAGGATTGCAAGCCACTGGGAAAATTCTCCTGCTTAAGCTGCTTTAGACCAGGAATGCTCTCTGGGGACTCCTGCTCGTTTAAACTAGGTACACTCAGCCAACACTCCCCACCCTGAACCAAACAGGCAGAATTCAAAGGAAGGAAGGACTGCCTCCATAATAAGCAAATATATTGCATTATCCAGCGTATGCAAAATGTTGGTATTTATTCCTTTAAGAGGAGCCAAGAGGAAGAAAGTCTTCGGATTGCTAGCAGTGCCGACATGTTTTTTAACCTGTCTACAGCCTGCTACAAGAGCTACTTCAGATTCCATTCTGCTCGAGAATGGGAACTTTGGGCACGACAATTCTCTACCGTCAGCTGCTGCAAAACTCCATACAAAACTGCGCTGCGTGATGCTGGTCTTGTCCAGAAATTGCAAAAACCTAGCACCACAAGAGCAAGATCGCCAGAGTAGATTGCACCCTATTGTATGGTGCAAGCACCTGCCCACAACAACCAGTTCTTGGTATAACGCGGGCAGTGTGTTTTTGTATCACTGAAAGAAATTGGCAAAGTGGGTCGCTTCCGATTACTCAACCATGTGAATCAGGTCACACACCCTGCAAAGAAAGTTTTAAAAAAACAGCAACATGGGATGGAGTTCAGGCTTACACGAAATCAACAGGGCTGACAGACGCAGGCTCCCCCTGCCCCAGGACTTTCTACAGCAGCCCCTGTAATCCCCAGAAAATGGTACACCAAGTTGGAAGAACCTGCTGAAAGGGGTGAGCTGTGGTGCGTGGTGGAGAGGTTTCCCCAGAATCAGGCAAGGGACCTTTGGAGAGCAAATTCCTTCTCCTCGCAGAAAGCAGATCCTGGATTCAACAAACAACTCAAGGACCATTGAACAGAAGAAAGCGGAGAGCGAGTACTTTTACAAAAGAAATTCTATTAGAGCAAAAAGCAGCCTTCCCCAGCTGGATGTGTTGGATCGCAATTCCCATTAATCCCAGCCAGCAATGCCAATGATTAGATTATCAAAACTGAATCCTAAACATTGGGACAGCATCAGATTTGAAAAGACTGGTATAAAGTCACAGTATCTAACCCACCAGACCCTGACATGCTTTAAAAACTTAGGGTTTAAGTTAAGAAAAACTTAAGAAAATAAGTTTAAGTAGTTGATATGATCTGTTAAAATATTTCAGTGGCTACCTTTCTCGAAGAAATGAATTCAATCAGCTATATAATTATAAATGCAAATCGTAAGCATGCCAAATAAGTTATGCTCCAAGACAGAGATTAAGTCAACCTTGTGCAACCATACAGAGTAATCATACCGAGGAACTTATTCGCAAGATAGGTGGATGCGATACGAACCAAAACATATTAGCTGAGACGAACATGTAGCACAAGAATGAGCTGTGAAAGGCTTAAAGCAGGTGTTTCCCCTGGAAGCTCATTGATGGAAGGAGTGGAAATGGCACTAGCAGCGCCGGATCTGTTCTGACCTCATGCTGAAAATCTACAATCCTCCTCAACCACGTCTTGCTCTGCTCACACACTCCTCTCCCCTCCGAGCGAGGGATGCAGCAACGGCACACCGCTTTTTCATCTCCGTGATTTAGCTGCCAGCAGACACAGCAGCGTGGTGGAAGCAGCTAATGCAGCTGTTGTCTCTGTCTGGAAATTACAAACAGATTCGTACTGAAGCAAGTTAAGGGATTATTTCAGGATAGCTTGTAATGTGAAAAATGTGTGAAGCGGTCAATCCTAAAAATAAAATAAAATTAAGAATGTAATAGCAGTGCTGCTGGAACAGACCAGAGGCAGATCAAGTCTGGCTTTCTCTTCCTGCAACAGCCAGTAAGTTCAGACGTACTTCCGGAGAGCTCACAGCTCCCCTCTGCGCTCCTGCAAAACCAGTCATCCACAGTTAAGGCAACATACAGCCATGATGACTAGTGGTTACTGACAGGCTCATCCTCTATATGTTCGTCTGACCCACTGCCCGCCCTTTAAAGCTGTTCCAAGCCGTAGCCATCACCACTTCTTGTGGTAAGAAATTCCGCAGCCTCGCTACACCTTGTCTGACGAACTCCCTTTGATCCCTTCTTCATCGCCCACTGTTCCACTTCATCAGATAACACCAATTCTGCGTACCGCCTCTATCCGCTTTCTTCGTGTGTGCACGAATGGCATGCCTCTTTCATGTCCCCCTTGCTCACCTTTTTTTAACTAAAAACCCTCCAATAAAAGGCTGGTCCAGCACCAACACAACTTTGGGAGCCCTTTCCTGTGTGCCTCCTTAGTTTGTGTCCCAGAACGACACTGATGCCCACAGTCCGCTTCATTATTTTATTCTGCATGCCCCATTTCAAAGCTGAGGCAAACACCATTTCTAAAGACAATTCAACTGGTTATTTATTTGAACTATCTGGCCTCTGAAATATCATCGGGCTTTCAGATGATCCTGAGTTACATGTGGCAGCTTAGCAAGGCTCATGCAAACTGGAGAAAAGCATAGCCAAAACTGCTTTAAAAAGAGGCTTTCCTTATCAAAATGTTAGATTTCCCTTTAAAATAAGCTTTAAAGCTGTACATAAGACTGTTTCCTCGGATGTCTATGCTCAGAGGCATTTACTCTAGTACATGTATTAGGGTAGCAGCCTTAAATTATTAAACCACTGTCAATTAAAAAGCAACCCACCTGCACATAACCTCCCCAAAGATCGTTTGCCATGCACTCGGAAGACTATGAATATTGTGCCAAGTATATAGGCCATTCACTTCCACCCAAGAACTTCCTTCTAACCTGGATCTATGCAGAGTCTAAACTGTCCAGGGCCATTCACTGAAGCAACACGCTTAAGAAGTGGGTTATGGGAACAATGCCCCTTCCTTGCAGTACTTCTTATGCAGTTAGCAAAGGAATCACCGATTCATGCTGCAGCTCTTTGTGCACTGGCTGGAGACAAATGCATGGATCGTGCTAGTGAGGTATGCAGTGGAAAGAAAAGGATACAATGGACCCTACTACCTACATCTGAATTTTTGCTACTGGGAAAAATCCATTAACATTTAGAGCCAGGGACAGAGTTCATTATTACCAGAACAGCAGCTCAGGTTGGAACAACCATTCGCCTTCCCTTGTGGCATTGTTCACATACGACTTTTTAAAGAAATCTTAATCCAAGTGGTAACAGAATGCAAAGTGTAGACAACTAACGTTTCGACGTTACACTGAAATGTTCCTCTGAGGGCCAGTGTGGTGTAGTGGTTAAGAGCGTGGGACTGGGACTCAGAGGATCCGGGTTCAAGTCCCCGCTCGGCCATGGAGCCCACTGGGTGACTTTGGGCCAGTCACAGACTCTCAGCCCAACCTACCTCACAGGGTTGTTGTTGTGGGGATAAGGTGGAGGAGGAGATTGATGCAAGCTGCCTTGAGCCCTTTGTAGGAAAAAGGCAGGATATAAATCCAAAAATATAAATAAATAAATAAATAAATAAATAAATAAATAAATAAAAGTCTTGTTGTAAAGAAAAACTGGAATTACCCAGTGCTCTCACTGGAAAATGAAAAAAGCAAAGTCCTCTTCAGAATAATTTTGAAAGGGATTTATACAAGCAAGGGGCAGATTCTATTTCCAACAGTTGATACATCAAAAACATTGATATACAGTTTTAACTACTATCATTAAATAGATCTTAATCTTAATCCCACTTTTCCTTTTGAGACATGCCCAATCAAAATAAAAATCATTTAAAATAAAAAACTGATAACTGAAAATTAAACGAAAGTAGTATAGACAAAGCACACCCAATTATACTCTGGCTGTAACAAGAGCTCCCTGAAGGGGTAACAAAAAGCATCAAGGGGGAGATCAAATTATTTCTACTTAAAGCTACTAGAATCTGAATACCTCCTTCCTTTTCGATACAACCATTCTGATTGCTAATCCACCACATCAGGTTAGAGCTGCGTGTTCTGAGCTTACTCTTGAAAGCCCTAACTGTGCCTGTTTAGCTGTATCATCAGAGACCACTTCACTAGAAAAGACAGAGCCGTTTTAGAATCCTGTGTTTCCAGATCACTAGCCATCTGCGTTATAATGCATGTTTGCATCTTGTTGGTCAGGTCAGAACCAGGAAGACACCTTGGCTGGTGGAAATGCAAAATAATTGCTGAAGACTCTGCAAGTGTGTTGATCATCACCCTGCACTGCCTGTAGCAGCACTGCCTTCTCCAGCCTGGTGGCCCGATGTTAGGACTACAATTCCCAGAATTCCTGTACATTCACTATGCTGTCTGGGGCTGCTAGAAGCTGAAGTCCAAAACAACTTGTGAGTATCAGATTGTGGGAGGCTGATGCATAATTTTTCATTTGACCATGTTAATGTGGTGCTGCCAGGCAAGTTGAGGGCACTGCCTAATTAATACCAGCAAATGTTGCATTCATCAGCCACGGTCTTGCCAGGATCATAAACTCAGACAGCCCCATGGACGCAGTAACATCGCGTAAGGGTAACAGGCGGTTTTTAACTTCGATCCGACACAGACACAGCGCATCATGTCCCCCTTCTTGCTACTGCTTGCTTCTCATCCACAGAACTGCACTAGCTGCAAGAACACGCAAGCGAGGAGATCAGCACTCTCTCCGTACACACTAAGCACCATCATCCTGCAGATGGGTGGTTGATCAGCCGGCAAGATGTTTCTGGCATGACATCAAAAGACAAGTAGGGATCACATTTAACTCTAGTTCAAACACCAGGTTACAAAACTCCCTTAAGGAAGATATAGCTAGCGCACCAGTTCTCACAGCCTTAACTCTACTGGACCCTATCTTAAGCTATACTTTGCCATGCCTAACCTTGTCAACTTCTTTTATGATCTAACTTCAGCATGTTTAGTAAAAGTGAACCATAACAACATACAAAATGAAATCACGGTTAAAGTCCAAGGATAAATGTAAAGGGTTTTGCTACTTAATGTCCAGTTTCAACTTACCTAAATTATCCCACCCAGGGCAGGCCTGTCAGCTTCTTCACCACTGAACTACTGCACGAGTTTCTGCATACTTAAGAGTTATGCTGCATTCCCAAATCCCAAATGTTTGCATTTCAAGCCCTTTTGAGCTATCGGTTTTCCCAGGACAGAAGGCTTTCCTACTCATTCAGCACAGGAAAAGGCATTTCCGATGGAGTCCTCTTCATTACATAAACGGGACAACTTTAGCTTTTGCTACCCGTACACAGGCCATCATGGGTCAGATACCCAATCCTTATAACTCATCTTGAAAAATGAGTTGCCCTTAACCTGTAACATTTTTCCGCATGGGAATCATCTGCACATGACAAAACACCTACAAACCAATCAAGATGGCACTGGATTCAATCAACTGGCGCCCAGCCAGTGCTTTTTTCCAGATCCCTGCCAAAAAACTGAATGCAGCCTACAAAGAGAGGGTGGGAGGCAGAACAGGCCTGAACCCCTGCCGTTGCCCAGCCCTGGTTTGCACATCGTGCCGGACCACCTCCCACAACTCTCCTTGTTCCATGCGCATGGAACATCACCACAAATATTTACGCATTTCCTGACTACTGCCTCTTTTCCTTCAGTGGCCAGAAAAGAAACAGAAAGCACCCGTGCTGACATAGAGAGCTCTTTTACGTCTCATTCCCACCAGCTGAGATGCATTTTCTGGCAACTGGGAGGAGGGAGGGAGGGGCAAAACACCCCCCTCCACACCACGTGCAGAAGTATACCCCCAAAGTAAACAGGACAGACTTCCGAGTGCACAGGCTGCAACTTCACAGAGGCAAACACTCGATGCCTTATTTAGAAGTTAATGTCGACAGCAGGTATTGGACAGGCGTGCAAGGCTCTGTGGGATGCAGACCCACCATCCAACTGCCATTGCCTCTTCCGTCATTATAGCCACTTAATCTACTACAAGAGTATACATGAATGAAGCATATGTGCTTAATCTCCAGCTGCACACCTTGAAATCAACATTATTCATTCGCAGCACACTTTTCAGACTGCAAAGCCTTCCTAGCATCATTGCAACTGAACGCTGAGGTGGGCGACTGCTGCTACCCACAGATTTGGCATGCCCTGTTTTTCTGCAGAAAATCATCTATTTCGTGTTCTTTAGCAGTTATTGCCAATTATGAATATTAGCAAAGCCTGGCAGTTTCAAAGGCATTACTAGTGCTCTTCATATTATTCTCCCTAGCAGGTATGTGAGGGAATACAAAAGTGTCACTGAACTACCCGCCCTGGGCTTAAAGATGCCTGGGGACCCAGCTGTGGCAGGTAAGGCATCCCTTTCTTTCCCCCTCGGCAGGGCGGGAATACTTAGGGGCGACAGCTGCGGAAAGCGGGCCCTTTGGGCAGCTGTCGCCTGCTTCCCGCCCCATCCTCCTGCCAGTGCAGAGAACACGATCACGCGAGGTCAACAGGTGCCCAGGGCAGGCACCCCAGAGCAGATGGGCACGGCCTGCCTCATGCTGGGCTCGCACGTTCCCGCTGAGGCCAAGGAACAAGGGGCAGGCATGACAGCCTGTGGGGGGCTGCGGAAAAAGCAGTGTCGGCCACCCCAGCTCGCCCTCACAGTGACTGCATGCCTGGCACGGGGCTCTTCCTCCACCTCTTCCGGAGGGTGGGCAGGAGGTCCCTGCCAGTTGCTGTACAGGTGTGCACTGGCCACACAGGGTGAGGGGCACCCCCACCTCTCCCAGCATCAGCAGGAGGCGGGGAGAAGGGGTTGAGAGAGGCACAATGTGTGGTGTGACCACCTTGCTGGAACCCCCTTTTGCTGCTTCAGCCAACTGGGCTCTGCAGGCGGTCGGCTTCACCATGTCTGCGTTCAGACAGCGCACTAAGCCGCAGTGGGTTTACTAAGTTAAACTGTACGCCATGGCTGCTTGGGCTAGTTTCTAGGCCACCCCAGGGCAGCTGAAATGCCCTCCCTGGGAAGCGGGGCAGGCCAGTCCTGGCAGCTTCATGAGAATTCAACCAACATGGACTGGAGCTAATAAGCACAGACAAGGAAGGAGAACTCTGCTGAAAGAGACGTGTGGTGGTCAGCATACCATATAATGGGTTATGTAAATATATTAGCATATTTTACAAACCCATGGCTTATTCTAGCATTTCAGGTGGTTGTCAACCATCCCAGCCACCCACCCTTGCCAGGTTCAGGTGTCACAACAACCTGCATGCAGTGAGGGTAATTACAATAATTAAGCAGCTCCTGCTTAGGACCTGCAGGGAGGGAAAATAGGCCACCATGGTTGGGCAAACTCTCCCCAAGCCTCTTGTCCAAGCATCCAGGTTCACATGGCACAATTTAAGTCCCACCGCATTGAACCAAATTCTAGTATGGTGCCAACATTCATAAATATCTGTTGCCAGGGTTTCCATCTGTGATACTGACTTTCATGCTACTTTGGCCTCTTACACTATTTCTAAATCATAACTTGAGATTTAGCAAGGTTTCTCTCAGAAGGACAAGGAACAGTTGTCAGGCAATTGGGTTCAGGCTATCGCACAGAAATTGCAGCCCAACACAGAAAAGTAATTCATGCATGCTCACAAACCTGTGCTCTTGCAGGTATAATGCAAAAGGAATGCAGAAAAAATGTGCACGCTCCGCACCCCAGAGCACCAGAAGAGCAGCACTGGTCTTTTGCTGAAACTCACAGATGTACCGGGGGGGGGGGGTGTTCTTGAAATAAACAATGTGATGTTGTAATCTGGCATTAAGAATCTGCCACAAGTCATGAGCCTTAGTAAAGACTGACACTCTGTTCTGAAGGTTAAGCTAACTTCCACAACGCTGCAATCTGAACCAAGTCACAACACACCGGTATAAAGAATGAAAACACTGTTGTCAACAGAAGTGACAATCCTCAGAAACCAGTGCAAGAACAGTTCAACCTCCTAAGAGGCACCATACAGCAGCCATTTTGAAACAAGGGAACTGCAAGGGTTTATTGTTTTAATCTCTTTTTTGGCACTCAAATCAAAGAAATCAATCAGGGATATTCCAGCATGGAAACAATAATTCATCTAGTGATTTAACTCTACCACCTGTGGCTCAAACTGAAATTATAGCTCTTTGGCTATCACTGTTGCCAGGAAATTTTTGTAAGCATTTTAACAGTCAACTATTTTACCTATAGGTTTTTACATAATGTTTACTGTGAGTTCCTTCTGCATTTACATTTCCTCCAAGTTCACGCCTCTTTGTTCCTGCCCCTCAAAAGATTAAACCAGATTTCTACAGATCTATATTCTGCCCCCCCGGTAGAACACTTGATATATCTGCACTGTAGTTCATTCATATTTATGTCATAATAAA